AGTGCATTCATCGTGTCTTGACTTGATAGCCATCTGACTGCGAGTCATACAAATCAAGACGACACTGACTGAGATCAAATATTCCCTCCTATATTTAATATCCTTTACTTAGAGTGTATTACAAGCGATGAGCAGTTGAATTCGTTGACAGAGTCGGTGTTTCAGAAGACTTTATTCAAGTCATAAGATCAATTCGCACATAACCTATTTGCCTCCTTGCACCGATCTACAGGCCCGTCATGCACAGATATGGTATTATTATTAAAACTCATCGAGCCTGCAGATCTCTTGGTATGCAGATAATGAGGTTACGCACATCGATGGAGATGCTGTGCAAAAATTGGAACGTTTGTGGTATCTTAAGAGCTTTCACGCGGATCACCATAAACACGGTTCTGAGTAATCAGACGTGCTGCGATCACATCGTCACGGTTCTGAGATCGCTTCGTTCCACATGCGCTGTTACTTCCTCATTCTTTCAAATGGGAAACAAAGCAGCTACGCCTTTTGGTTTCTAGGTTGTGAACAACTGGTTTTTATTTCATGTAATTACCACGCTCTTTCTCAATGCGCCCAAAACAGAAAAATCACTTTTCATCATAAACGTATTATGCAACTGCTTTGGATTTATTTATCGTTATGACGAATAGTTTCAGATTTTATAATTCTTTTCTATGTAAATCAAGGCCATGCTACATGTAATTCATTTCAATGTTATCCTCTGCGTGCTGGTGCAAAATCTTGAGAGAGAAGAAACTGTGATGAGTCAATAGTCTTTGTTGTTACAGGAGATGCGAACGATGGCCTGTGGTCTTATGGCCGTGTTTGTAGTCAGGTCGTCCTTTTCCTTGAGAAACTGTATGACAAGATTCGCCATCCGTTGAGTACCACTGCTCCACAAACTGACCGTTTATACCGTTCCTTACCAGCCTTCACATCAATCCTCGACAAGGATCAACACACCTAACTGTATTCTTCCTTGGCACACATTCCCTTACTTTGATCAGTCTGCCGTCAACGGACAAAGAAGCTATTAAATTCATTAACACCCTAGTTGACTAATATATGCAGTAAGTACGATAATATAGTAATGCCGTCTCTATTTACTATTTGCCATCAGGGGCAGACGTAAATCTGCTATTCTCATGTCTTGAATTCCTCAAAGTTTTAGCTTGTGTGATTCGAAGAAGACCTGAACCATTGAAAATGTCATCTGACGCAGCTATCAGTAAAATACCATTGAATGATTTCTTTGAATTCTACTATTAAGTACCTATGCCTGCTATTAACGGGTATCGCTCATCGAGTCCACCACCTCTTGAATTGAGGCGAGTAAACGCAGTAATTCAGATCTGGACTGCACCGAAGTCAATGGAGCAATATCATAAGCGTACTTCATGCCCATTCGGGTAGCATCATATGGGTGACATTGCCCAGGGTATAAACGAACAACGCAGGTCCCTCGCGTCGTCATGCGAGCAATGGATTTCTTTTTGCCGACATTTACAGGATGTTGGAACCTCAGATGGAAATTCCAGCAGTCTGGGCAGCTGAAGTTTTGGCAGCGTGTTGTAAGTTGAGCTGCTGTTCAGAAACACGCCCCTAACTCATGCTTGGCCTTCGAAGAGGTTGCTCATAATGGTGGCTACAAACACGGTCAAAGTACGCATAGTACTGAGTCCTGCACATGTCCAATTTTCCAGGGATCGTCATGTTCCAACACCGTTGAAATAAATGACGGCGAGACGATTTTTGCCAAACATCTAAAAGTTATCGTAGTCACTGCAAAGCCCCCTCTTCGGTCAGCCTTGTATGCGGCCAAGAAGATTTCTGGATAGGTGCTGTTCGAAACCTCTGTCAAGAATGTCTTC